TCCATCTGTATCTCAATGAGCAGTGAAGTGGGTGGACCTGGACCTTGACTTTCTGATGTCTCCCTTTCTTCTCCATTAACGTTTCCAGTTTGTTTTCACTCCCTTCCATGTTAGTTGGTACCTTGCCCCTCCTTTCGAGTTCTATCTGTCCCTCCTTACTTACTTACTTACTTACTTACTTACTTACTTACTTACTTACAGTGTTTGTCTCCTGCCTTTGAAGTAAGAAAGCACACAGCTATCTCCTACATGCCAGAAACTGGAAGTGAGCCCTCGCTATCATGTTGAGCACTAATGCTCCTCTACTGGCCTAAGGTGTATGGATGACTGCTCTACTCAGTGGGACTGAGTATCATGGTCTGTGGTGAGTTGGGTACAGTGGAGAGCACAGACAGATGGAGCAGCTGGCAGACCTGTGGAAGGACTCCAGCTGTGTAATCCCTCACCTTCTCAATATAGTTCACTTGATGATGTCCTTGTGTTTTGCTTAAGGACAAAGACAGTGTTGACTGCTGAAAGGGTGAATGCCTATCTTGAGGGATTACAAAGCACACAGGGATTTGTGCTTATGTCTCTGACTTTCAGGGCACTGTGTTATCTCGGTGAATTGAGAGCGGTGTATCATTTAAAGTGTTATTGTCAATAGAAGCCACCTGTTCTTTAAGAAGATCATGGATTAACAGTCATCTCCTCTGTTAATAAAATAAATTTTATTATTTAAAATTACTTTAGATTGTCTAAGCTTTGGGGAATATAAATTGATATTATAGCTACAAGAAAGAATAACCCATTGCCAATAAATGTCAGTATTCAGTAGAATATTTTAATGTCAAGGGAAAATAGGTAATTGATGATTACCTATTGCTAAGCACTAAAAGGTGGTCACAAATGATGTGCCTCGGATGATCTGAGTTTATTCAAAAGTAGATAGAAAAGAAAGAACTGAAATGTAATAGTGTTTGTCCTTGGTAAATGGAAAAATATTTTTAAAAATTATTTGTAATTTTACAACTTAATGAACCTTTCATTTTTTTCACTGCAAAACCATGTGCAGCATTTAGAATGAAATAAAATGATGCATTAAATGTTCTGACTCTTCTCTCCTTCTGGGACCCTGAGATTCAGAAAATTAGGTTGCTGTTGTCCTGTCAACAGTGTCCAGAGAGGTGGCTGTCATCCCAACAGCCCCTCTGCTTCCTTCCAGAAAGCTCCTGGCTATTGTGGAGGCCCCATTTTATGGGTTTGGTGGGCTGCTGAGGTCTAGCTCGAACCAGTTCCCTCCCTATCTGTGACCAACCTTCTGAGCTTGCTGAAGTTTAGGGGGTCTGGGTGGTCAGAGGGGCTCAGAGTTCCAATCCTGCAGTAGGGGCTTTCCAGAAAGGGAACGCCCAATGGAGTGTTACCATGGGGTAGGGGGTGAGTGAGCATACTGTCAGGCTCGCAGTGTTCCCAAGAGGGGCTGCCAGCTGGCTTGTAGGGCAGCAGGGACTGGAGGGACAGGCATATCCCTGTGTGTCCACTAGGTGGCAGGCCCTTTCCTGCCCTGAATCTTTATGACTCTCTTAAAGGCTTGGGACACTATGGTCTAAAGGGTCACTAGAAGGGACAGTTGAAACAGATTCTATGTTTCATTCAGCTCTAGGCACTCCAACTCAAAGGTCCACCAGGGATCTCACGTTCTCTTTTCTCCTTCCCTCTAGTCCTTCTTTTAGTAAAAGTCTCACTATGTAGTCAGAACTAGCCTCAAACTCACTGTCTCCCTTCTTTAGCAACACATTTGGGGTGCTGGGGTTTCAGAGTGAGTCATCACGCACAGCTTAGAGTCTCATTTCTAGTGATCTGCTAGAACTACTGTTAGTACCACTCTTTGGTGTGCACACTTTGAGCACAGAACAAACCAACTTGGACTCTGGGAAGGGAGGAGGTGGCACAGTCTCTGACACAGAATGTGAGGGGGCTCCAGGGCTTGTGTCACCCACCAGGTAATTCACTTAGCATGAGGGCAACTAATAAAGTACAGATGCACTGCTTGAAACACGAGGTAGAAGCCCCAAGTAAGCTCCAAGCAAAATACATTTAAGAACATCACACATGCAAGCCAATGATTCCCAAATGATTTGAAGTAAGAGTATTAAGAAACCACCCATTACAGACCAATGCATTCCTTTTCTTGCTTAAGACTTTGGCACAGTTCTGGTCCCATGTGGCTGATCAGGCAAGTGCGACAGCACCAAACTGGTGTGTGCCAGGCTCAGTGAGTGGCAGCCACTGATGATGCGTCTGGGTCGTGGGTGGCGATGATAACGTGCTGTGAAAGTTTCTGAAGCGCATCCGCCATGTCTCACCTTGCACCAGCAGGGAGTGACAGCGATCAGTTCGCAGCCCACAAACCACGCATGAAAGGTTCTGGTCTAGCTCTGATAGAGTACTAATCCAGGGACGGACTTATTGTGCAGCTTCAAGCAGTCAATTTATTGCTTTGAATGGCTGAACCACATGTTAGCCTTTGTACATGGTTCAAGGCCATTTGGTTCTCATCAATTACATCTAGGGTGCTGGGGATGAGGCTAATAAAATGTCCTTTTGGCTCAAGTGTTCTTTCTTCATGCTTAGATATCACGTTTAATGTCCTCAACACAGTAATCCCTGGACAAACGCTAGAAGATAAATGCATGCAAGAGTAGGTAGGGCATCAACTGCTTTAAGGGTGGTGGCCAGCTAGGAAGTAAATGCCCAGTATGAATGGCCATCAGACAACACTTTCTTTATAGACTCTATAGACATAGAAACTCAATGGAGCTGATGGAGAAGAACCAATTCCCAAGGGAAATGTAGGCATCACTCACCAGTGTGCTCATGCATGAGGGGAATTTACTTCAGTAGATTCTTAGGTTTTGTGAATCAGGCCATTTGGGTATCATTTCCTTGCTGAATCAGGACATTGTTTTATGCCCAGTTCAAAGTGAAGCTTGGTGGTATCTCTGGAAACCTCACAAAGTTTGCCTCTGTTGTTTTTCTTTCAATACCAGAATAATGAGAATGCACTTGAATGATTTAGGGAAAGGGCTGGAAGAAGATCTGAGTTTCATAAGATAGCCCAGCCACCCACCCATCCTAATCTGTTAAACTCCTCTAGTTCCATTCCTTGCTAGGCTATTCAAGGAGTTTATGTGACTTAGGCTGTATAGCCAATAATAATAATGATAACCAGGAAAGTGGTAGCTGCTGTTTAAAGTACAGTACAGTTCAGGTACTGTGATGAGTGTTTAAGTACATTATCTTATGTAGTTTTATCAACATAGCATTTATATGCTTGCTCTAAACATACAGTGGAAAGGTTGGTATCCTAGTCCAAATGTGTCCATCTCAAAATGTGTTCTTAGCCACTATACCGTGAAGTCTTAAATCCAAAGATCGTTAACTTGTCTGTTTATAGTTTTCTTTTTTGACTGTGTCTCATATTTAGCCTTAGTTAGCCTCAGATTTGCTGTCCTCCTACCTCAGTATCCTGCGTACTGGAACTCCCACCCATCTTACTTTCAAGATATATCAACAAACTGAAAGTTTAATGTTTAGAACTCTATATACGTAAGAACAGAATTCCTCACAATAGGGATGGCGCTCTGTGAATGAATGGACTTAGGTACCAGTTGTGAATGAGTCAAATTCAGTTCACTGGGTCCTTAAATCATGAGGATGTTGGCTATAAACCAAAGACAGGCAAGGTTTTGCTACAACCTATAAGATCTGAAGATACAATCTGCTTATAAATCCAGATTGTAGCCCAAGAAAATAAGCATGTGTACATCCATTCATACTTGGAGATTGACCTGTTTTACAACCCAACTGCTTTGAAAAAAATCTTATTTTGCCATTTTTCTAAATATTCTTTTCAAAATTTCAAAGTCTTTCCTAGAAATGCCTGCTCACGCTGCAGTCCTAGATGAAGACTCCATCTTTGGATAATGGGTTTCAAGGGAAAGCATCCGCCTCAGAATCTGGATCCTTCTAAGTAAACTGGAAGTTATGGAGGTTCTAAAGTGCTTACAGAAAATCAGGAAGACCTGGGCTCTTATTCACGAATTAACAGTGTAACTGTGACTCATATTCAAGACAGGGCAGTGAGTACGCTTCTTAACGGCTCACCTACTAAGTATCTATCGGAAGGTGATGTATTGTTATTTGATTGTGAGATTTTTCAATTTTCAGACAGACAATTTAAATTTTATCACAAGCAAAATCCAAAAAGCCAATCATGATCTTTTTAGCTTTTAAACTCTCAACTGGAAAATCATGGCTAGTTATGAGGACTCGGACACTGACAGACACAGGCTGGCTTAAGTAGCAAAGATTTTGGGCAACCCTAAGACCGTAACACGATCAGCATCAGAGACATCTGTCAGGTGGGGTGGCCTGAGGTGAACGGCAGCTAAGTCTCATGTGATCAGGACTCTGGGCTGCTTTGGCTGGTTCTCTTTCCCCCTCTGGAGGTGGCTACCTCCTCCCTCATGAGGTGATGACTGCCTAACACCCTAATCTGCTCTCCATGATGGTGACACAGGATTTACTGACCCCAAGACATGCTAAAAATCTCTCTGTCAAGCATGAATTGCCTATGTAGGTTAAAGGCAGACGTTGAAATCCCTTTAGCTGCTGGTGTAATTGGGATAAGAAATATGCATATGCACACACTCAGAAACACACCACAAAACCAGTAGTCACCAATGCAGCAGTGTCTGTTTCCACTCGGATACAAATGGAATCAAAGATCAAATCAACAGCACATTTGCTCATTAAAGAAATAAAAAGGGTCCCCCCCCCCCAGTGTTGGGCATGGCACGAAGTGCTTGCCTTTGGATCCCACTCATTTATGCTTAAAACTAACTTAGAGGACAAAGACAACAGGGAGGCTAAGCCAGGGAAACGCGCTGACATTAGGCGGGCAAAGACCAGGAGGAGCATAGTCACGGCAGAGACGCATGGTAATAGGAAGTGGTTACCTTTACATTTCTTCTCTTCGGTCTGGAAGGTCTGCGCACTTGAGACGCTCTGATCATTCACGTCGTCCGGATCCAGATGGAATATCGAGCTCGTCCAAGTGGCCTGGATGAGGTGTGGGGATGTCTGCTCATTCTTCAGTGCACCGCGCCTCTCCGCATGGCTCTTCCTGTGCAGGCAGGCTTCGGACATCCCTACGAGCTTCCAGTCCTGTCCTCGCTCTGGACGGGGCTTCTGCTTGTCCCAGGCTGGAAGGCCATTTTCTGGTGGAAGAGGAGTGAAAACATGAAATAACGGACTGTAGGTATTGTCGCGGTTTTGCTGAGATTTTGTGTTTTGGAAGCCAGTTGCTGCTCAGTGCCTTGGGGCTGACAGTTCCCATGCACCTCCACTATGATGTCAGGACATGCTGAGGCTGTCAGCCCTGGGCACAGAGCCACCTACACTGGATACCCCTTTCTCTCGAGCTCCTCCGCGGCAAGTTTCATCACTACAGGAGCGGCCCAAGAGCTAGCTGATACCAGTTTATATCACTGCTTAGACGACCATTTGAGGTCTTGAGTGTCAGGGCTGGCCATGACCTTAGGTCAGATCCTCAGGATGTAGCACATCCGGGATGTGGCCTTGTTTGACTTGGGTTTTAGCACAGACTGACCCGAGAGACATTGTGCCACTTAAGTTGGGCACACGCAAGAGGCCACACACCGAGACTGACAGGCTGTTCTTACCATTTTCTACTCTGATGGGAAATCTAAGGAGACAGGAAGGAGCCACTATCAATAAAACACCACAGCACACCACAGCACAGCACACAGCACACCAGAGCACAGCACACACCACACCACACCACACCACACCACTGCAGCAACAGCCCCCAAGTCTAAACCCAGATCTTTTACATGGAAATTTTGTGTTTTCAGTGGATCCTCAAACTGTCCATGAGATCACACATTCTTTCTGTGTGGTAAATTAAGAGCCCCACAAGTAGAAGGATGAGCCTGGATCTCTTGGTCTGGGTACCGGACTGCTAATCTTTTATTGTTCTTGAGTTCAGTCTTCGGGGTTTGTAGGCCTGTTCTCCAGAATGGGCAAAAGTAGAATTCACATAAGAACTTTCTACTGAGAAGCAGCTTCTCCAGTGACCACTTTCATCTTATTCGATATCTTACTATCTAGGAAGATACAGTAGAGGACAAAAATCATAAGAACACACACTCACCCCAACACTCTCACACATGCACACAAACACTACCCCCCACCACGCACACACAGACATACTCACTCACATACACACCACACACACACACACACACCACACTCACATTCACACACACCACACACTCACACTCATAAACACCTCATACACCACAAACTCACACTTACATGCACACACCATATACACATACAGTCACATATACTCACACACACCACCTACCCACACCACACATACACACACACCACACTCACATTCACACACCATACACTCACACTCATAAACACCTCATACACCACACACACTCACACTTACATGCACACACCGTATACACACAGTCACACACTCACACTTACACTCATACCTACACTACCTACGCACAACACACACATACATACACACCACCTACACACACACCACAGACTCACATGCATACACACACATATATGCACACACTGCAAATACCATACACACAGATACAGAGACACATTTACATGCACACACCACTCACACCACATTCACATTCACATTCATACACACCACACACTCACACTCATAAACACCACACACACCACACACTCATACAATACACACCACATGTATACATCTTCCCTCACACACACTCATATTTACACGTACATACCATATACACACACTTACACTCACACACATACCACATACCATACACATTCAAGCATGTACACACACACGCACACACCACACATACTCACAGTCTCACAATGCACCACCTATACACATACATTCACACGAATGCACACATACATGCACATGCTACACTCACAAATACATACTCACACATACACACACAAAGTGTCACCTGTTTCTAGCATTCCTTAGCAACTATGTGTCAGAATTAGGAGATTGGTAATATATGCTGATTAGAAGACTACAATTATAAGTGTGGTATTTAAACTCTAATTTCTTGTTAGCCTGGGTGATTTGATTGCACATGTCAGACTAGTGTTCCATCACTAGGACGCATCCTTGCCTGGTGAGTTTTCTTTTATGCTGAAATTGCCAAAAGACCACAGTTGAATCCCCGGTGCTTACAAAGACCAATCCATCCTGGCTGTGCTTTGGCATGGGGGATTTCAAGGGAAATGTCAGAGTTAGACATACTTGAGACTTCCATAGCACTCTCCCTGAAGCTACCAGAACCATAGGCAGATTGTCTGGATGGTTTACCTGATATTGTCAGCTGTCAGAAGTCACTTTCAAAGTTATGGTCCCTGTTCTGACTCTCATGTTCTCATATCCACGCACTCAAACTTCTGATTCAGGAGAGAGTGAAGGATGGCAGAGCAGGAATCTGCACAGGATTTCTCTTTCCTTTTTCCTTTCCTTTCCTTTCCTTTCCTTTCCTTTCCTTTCCTTTCCTTTCCTTTCCTTCCCTTTCCCTGAATCTCTCCCACCTCCCTCCCTCCACTTGCCCTTCCCTTCCTTCCTGAGAAAGATTTTAGTTTTACTTGTGTGCCTCCCCCACTGTTCATGAGTGTGTCTGTAAAGTGCCTGCAGAACCCAAAGACCACATCTGATTGGCTAGAGCTGGAGTTGTGAGCCTCCTAGTGTGGGTGCTGGGAATCACACCGTGTCTATGGGAGGAGCAGGAGCCAGCACTCTGAACTGCTGAGCTGTCTCCCCAGCCTCCAGCACCGGATTTCTTTGCCTAGTAAATGGAAGAAGCACTGTGGCTTCAAGTGGCTTGTGTGTCCTGTAGGAGCATCTTACTGTGTGCTGGGTTTTGGGTTGTACTGTTGCTCTGAAACAGGGAAAGGTACTGGGAATTCTCCACGCTTAGGACTGTGTGCATTGGGCAGATTAAACAAGCATGGGGCTTTTTTCTCAGGGTTATAAGGCATTATTCATTGTGGGGTGAATCAACTCTTTCTCTTCCCAAGCATGCCCACCACTGGTACAATTACAGGCATTTATTCTCACTGTCCGTTGAAAGGAAACAACAGGTTGAGATCTTCAAGATTGTATTGCGTTCCAAACTCAACTTCTGTGCAGAGTTCATTCAAGAACCTATTATTCATGAGGTTTAGGTTTCTTGTGGTTTAATGCAAAGGTTAATCCTGGGCCTGGAGAAACTCACTCTACTCCCACAAGAAAGCTCACCCGCGCATGTTTCTGCTCTTCCCATTTTATTTTCAGAAAGTAAATCCCCCAGCAAACTGTACCCTGTAAAGTTCAGCTTAAAGAATCTTACACTTCTCAGAGGGTTTTGTGAAGCTTCTACCATATGACCTTTTTTGCACTAATTTCTAAAAGTTGGTAGTAATTCCCCAGCCCTAACTAAAAATAAATGTAGAAATCAGGAAGTTGCTATTCCTTACTGACTCTGGGTCTCAGATGAAAGGTGTCTAAGGACTGTGCATCCAATGGGACATTCTGTGTCAAAGCAGAGCCCGTAAAAGCTTGTTCTGCATGTCCCTTGGGCCAGCAAGAGGGGGTTTCTTCTCGAAAGGCAGGGTATGTTTGGGGTAAGGTAAGCAATAGGATTGCCTTCCGCTTACCAAAGAAAAACACTTGAGAAGGTTTGGGTAAAGGGCTCCATTCACAGGAGGCACTTACAAGTTCATAATTACTGTCTGCAATTACATTCGAAATAATGATATTCAGTTGCTTAATTGGCAGGTTTATGGGATACACACTGCTGGGAAAACTGGAGACTGAGAAACCCTGGCTGGGTTATGGGAAAATGCAACAGGAATTTCTTTAAAGAGAATACTTGATTCATATCCACCCAAGAGTAGGGGAGTGCATGCAATTCTTACTGCATTTCCAAGGAAGGATGGGCACCCATAGTGCCAAGCCCTTAAATTCTATTTATTGGGTGTATGTTCAATGATGAAGACTATAAGGTCTACATATATGCCGCTAGTAAAATGTCTTTGAGTTTCTTTTCCTATTACTAAATCACGTGTCCAAATCTTTTCACTCCCCAAAGTTCATGGCAATGGATTATTCCTTTCTAGAGGGATTAACATCCTAAGAGTCAATCAGTGACTCCCAACCCTTGGGACTGATCAGAATCACCACAGGTGCTAATCACAGCATTAAGATCTGACTTTTTAAATTGGGCTAGGGCCTCAGCATGTATGATTCTGCTAAGTTCTCCAGGTGACTGAGATGCCCAACAGAGTCTGAGATCCAAAGGACCAAGGTAAATCTGAAGCAATAAAGCAAATTATTGGCATTTTGAGGATAAATTGTATACTCTCAGCCTCTAATGTTTATTTTACACAGCCTTATATAATGTTCCAGTTAGTTTTTATTGTCAAGCCCACATAACCTACAGTCACTTGGGAAGAAGGAACTTCAACCAAAGAAACACCTTTTTCAGATTGGCCTGTAGCCATGTCTGTGAGGGCTTGTCTTGATTGATGGCTGATGCCAGAGGGCATCACTCTCTCCAAGTAGGCAAGAGTGAGCCAGTTGATGGGCCAGCAAGCAGGGTTTCTTCATTGTTTCTGCCCTGAGTTCCCTCAATAATCAATTATAACCTGGAAATGTGAGTTATAATAAACTCTTTTGTCCCCTAAGTTGCTTTTGGTCCTGTTGTTTAGCAGAGCAGCAGAAAGAAAACTAGGTAGAGAAGACTTGTATTGTCATTCACAAATACCCCAGCTGCTGTTACGTCCACTGGGTGAATTCCTGAGGCACTGGCTGTATATTGTCCTGAAGATTGCAGGTATGGATGTAAGTATTTGTTCAAAGAAATTGCTTTGGGGATTATCTGGAGCATACTGCACATAGTGGTATAAATCATTTTTTAAAGGCTTAGGGATGTAGTTGAGTTGGTAGAGTGCATTCCCAGCACACACAAAGATCTGGGTTCAATCCCCAGAAACACACTGACTAGACATAGTAGCATATATCTCAGCAAGAGATGGAGACAAGAGGGTCAGGATGTCAAGGGTCAAGGTCAGAGAGTTAGAGGCCAGTCAGGCCTACATGAGATTCTGTCTCAAAAAAGGGAGGGGTCAGTTCTCTGCTTAGCATTCATAAGGACCCAGGTTGGAGTGC